CACCTGGTCACATACATACCTAGCCATATATACACCTGGTCAAATGAAGATTCTGTCTGTTCGTATGATCAAATACTTATTATGTACACATAGTGTTGTCACGTCGCAGACAATGTGTCACGTGACAGATGCATACCTGGTTACGTAATACAATCTCCCTGGTCGAACAGATAGATAAATACCATATCGAGGTGATATTGTCGCATACATTTTGTCAAATGATTACATACCTGTTCACATATTGCCTTTTCTGTAGATGTGTACAAATCAGAGTTTCGATCGGCCATTTTTTCCAGAAACTGCTCGTCAAGTGTCAATTCCATTATAACGATACCTGAACAATTGATAATTATTCCATAAGGACAAAAAATGAAGCATATCCAGCAGTGAGCGTGAATTGTATAAGTATCATGAAGTACATGTATGTACGTAATTATGGAGTCTAAGGATTAATTGAGAATTGTGTTCTAATGAATGGGTCCTAATTCCAATAGATCCAATAGTAAGGGTGGTCGGGTGGTGCAGCGGATGGTGCACTTGCCTTTCAAGTTTCATTTCCCCGATCGGACTTGGACAGGTATGGGGTCACCTGCCCGTTCAGGTCGGTGTTCTCTAGGTACTCCGGTTTCCTCCAACAATAAGACCCACCGTGGGCTAAGATCAGGGCCAACACAAGGGAGTAATATAAGTTGAAATAACTTGCTTCATAATTATTGTAAAATACATAAAGTTTATGTCTTTTATTCCAATAGATCAACGTTCAGACTTGTATTTGTTAACATTGTTCCGTAAGACTTACTAACCTTCCGTGATAACTGCAACATCTGAAATTGGAAATTATTGAATCAAGTTGCAAGTATCAAACCATAATATAATAATTCGATGTTTGTTTTTATGTTGCGTCCGTCTTGGAAACAGATAAAACGCTATAACCACATAAACAATTGCTAGGCATAACGAGAAGAATACACTCATACTAATAAGATTATAACCCCGGTTCGGCCTTTGATCAGCATACCAATACTGAACGTTAAACCTCCCATAATTAAAAGCTGAGACATTGCGATTTCATAAATCTATATAAATTTATCAAAATAATTTGTAATGGTTAAGAGAGTAAAAATTGGGGACTAATATAAAAGCAAACAATTTGCAATGACAATAACGTACCTCGTTGTAAGACAAGCACCACGGTGACCGGGATGGCTACTATAACAATAAGTAGGCCGACGGCAAGCATTGAAAGCAGAACATTGTTGTTTTTGTCGGCTGATTTATCTTCTTTTCTTTTCGTCACGTAATCAACAGGTGAATCGTTGAAGGTTGCGTAAGGCTGTTCATCTTCCCTGGTCTTGTCTGGGAGATAAACCTTCAACGTATTATATACAAAATGAATCGTAGTCAGATATCGATTAACCGTTTAAAATTATCAGGATAATCAGGATGAATTTAATTCTTCATATTACCTTGACGACGTACCAAGTGATTTTTCTCTTAAAATCTGTCCGACCCAACTTGTCGTTACAATTACAGGTTAGAGTGTAAAAGAAGTAATGGCCCTGAACTTCATTACGGAATTTGTGTTTTATAAAACCAAACTTTCAAATTTTATAAAAATGCTTGTTAAGTTATTGATATGCAGTCGCAGATTCAGACGAGAACAACAGTTTTACATACTCGTGGTAGAAACTGCTTCGGTGAATTGGTTGAGAAAGGTGAGTTTTGTATTTCATTCAGACTAGCCAGTTTATACCATTGAGGGACGTCGTCTGGAAAACCAGAGGATGTATCGCTAACAGACGGACTGTAACCTGATGAGGTCCCGTTCGTGTTAGGCTGGCTGTAATCCCTCCTGTATGGGTCTAATATATGAACAAATTAGTTGTTTTATTTGGTAATTTGTTTTGAATGTGAGAAAGCTATATCAAGACATTTAACAAGGAGTCAATAAACAAAAAACCAATGGAAGCAGTGTACAGTAAAACTGGACTAATCATAAAAATAAAGGGCATGTCTGAAATATACGTGGTTAGGGTAATTATCGCGCACATGACATTTACATATATGGATATACATATCTATATAAGCAATTACTTTTAATTAACATTTCATTAGTTCAATAAATCTTCATTAAAAGTGTATATGTTCATTCAATACTTCTATAAATTTATCAAAACAGAAAAAATAATACGAACGACCGTATTGTGATTTATAGGAGGTTTTCGTTGAGACATTTTGTTGAAGTTGATTTGCTCTTCCACCAGTGATCAGGTGACCGTGTACATTAAGCTTGACCATCAGACGGTACCTTCCAACGTTTGCATTTAAGTAGCTGTCAGTGTGTTATTTGCCAAACCATCGATCTATGCTACACATATTTTGATTAAGGAATAAACAAAACGTCCTGGATCGTATGAGACAAGTCTGCAAATATTGATTTTGGAATATATATGCATGTCGAGTTTAAATGGTCTTCGTCCGAGAACTTTAGGTAAATCTTTAAAATCCTTTTCATTCAGTAATTTTAGCAGAAATTAGTCCAGAAAAAATCATTTGGCAAGGGGGGCTTGAATTGTTTTAACAAAGAGTGTGACCCCCTGGGAGCACAGGAGAAGGGTCCAGTAGAGGGAACATCGTAATACATGTTTTAAATTCTTCTCCTTGAGAGTTGTTTGGAGGATTTTAACCCAATTATGTGTGAGCAGCCTTGAGCAAAGGGGACTCAATTTTGTATAGATAGAGTGCAGCTTTAAATAAGGAGGCTGGATAAGGGCTGCCCAATTCAAGGGATCAGAAAGAAGGGACCTAATGAGGAACAGGTTTTGCTAAGAGACAGAGTCAATATTTGGTGGTCGGGTGGCGTAGAGGATAGCACACTTGCCTTTCACCAAGGCGACCGGGGTTAGATTCCCCAATCGGATGTGAAAAGGAATGGGTCACCTGCCTGACCACGTGGGTTTTCTCCGGGTACTCCGGTTTCCTCCCACATTAAGACCCCCCGTGCTAACATCCGGGCCAACACGAGTGATTTATATAAGTTGAAATAACCTGTTTCATAATTGTTGTTAAACAAATAAAGCTGATATAATATTTATAGTATTTGGAAATAGTTGTTATATGTAATAAGAATAATATCCCATGCTGTTTTACTATCCAGGTGAGCGATATAGGTCCTCTTGGTCTCGTGTTATTTTTTTCAGTTCTAAATCTATTTCTTTAGCAATTTCTTAAAACAGAAAGAACGAAATGATATACCAACATTCCGAAAATATCTACAAAGCTGCACTTACCATGTGTGTTCATTTCGTCTTCCACCAGTGATCTGGTGTCCAGATACAGACAGAATATCAGACAGTACCGTAACACGTTTGTATTTAAGTAGCTGTCAGTGTGTACTTTGACTAATAATCGATCTATGATACACATCATTTGATTACGCAATATACAAACTTCCTGAATCATGTTAGGTTACGTCGGCAAACAATTACTTTTGAAAATATAAGCATGTATAATTTGAATGGTCTTCGTTCCTCGATTTTCTGACAATCCAATCAGCTGTGTGATAAGGTAGAGAATACGTGTATTTACATGTACAACAGCTACTGCCAATAAAAAAAAGAACAATGCGCGAATAACATTTATGGGAATTTCAATAGCAGTAAAATCCAGCAAAGAAATCAAATGAGAAAGAAAGCACCTCAAATTATTGTAATAATAATCGCCCGTCCCTTGATTGCTTCAAGGATGGATACTTAAACAAGTACCGTGAAATACCATGATCTGACAGGCCTTCAAATTGTAGCTTGTAACCAATGAAATTCAAATGAAGAACCAGAATTTCTGTTACTATCATTTGCTAAGAAGCTTCAACTCCAACAACCCAGGTGGAGTATACAATGGTCTGGGGTGGGTGTTGCGGTATCTGTGCTGTAGCATTCAAGTGAGGTGGCACTATAAATGATACCGTTGGAAGCACGGTCCCACTACAAACAGAACACATTACATCTCCAGCACACACGCAGGCATACACACATAGGGAGATATTAGCCGGGTGGCATAGGACTAGTAGTTAGCGCCTGATAAGGCAGCTCCTGCGAATTCCTCAATATTGTATTGATTAATATATATGCTGTATACAAATTGGATATCTATGTACTGTAAAGCGCTTTAGAGTGGCTTATGTTAGCTAGATAGGGCGCTATATCAAATGTTTTATATTTATTTATTTATTTAACTTTGTGATTTTATGCAAAGTCATTCTTTATCTTTTTACATGCTTTAAAAATCCCTAACCATTCCATGCGGAATAAAAAGTATGTAGTTTAACAGCTTAAGCAAACACATAACTAGTTCACTGGTAGGGTTAAATTCTTTTAGGAGCGACCTGCTTTTACAAGTGACCAGATTTTAAGGTAAGATCACGTGTTGTCTATAGATAGGTAAACAATTGCGACAATCCTTAACTACTGTTTGCTCAAATTTTGTGAACTTATATGTGCACATCAAATGTCAATATACCAACTCAAAGAATTTTTTGTAATAACAAAAAACAAACATAAAAATTAATAAGAATGCAATTCAATAAAATTCAAACTAGTACAGAGGTGTATACTTGGTTTGAATGGTGTAAACATATATGGGGTATCTGTACAGCGGTGTAGTGTTGGTTTGAATGGTGTAAACATATATGGGGTATATGTACAGCGGTGTATTGTTGGTTTGAAAGGTTTAAAATTCCGGCGTAACGCGGTGTAATGTTGGTTCCAATGATGTAACAATATACCGGGTACAGCGGTGAATTATTGGTTTAAATGGTGTAAAATACGCGGGGAACAGGTGTATTTGTGGTATAAATGGTGTAAAATACTCGGGGAACAGGTGTATACGTGGTATAAATGGTGTAAACTACGCCGAAAACAGGTGGATTTGTGGAATAAATGGTGTAAAATACTCCGAGAACAGGTGTATTTGCGGTATAAATGGTGTAAACTACGCCGAAAACAGGTGGATTTGTGGAATAAATGGTTTAAAATCCTCCGAGAACAGGCGTATTTGTGGTATAAATCGCGTAAAATACGCGGGGAACAGGGGTATTTGTGGTATAAATAGTGTAAAATACGCGGGGAACAGGTATATATGTGGTATAAATGGTGTAAATTACGCGGGGAACAGGTGTATATGTGGTATAAATGGTGTAAAATACGCCGAAAACAGGTGTATTTGTGGAATAAATGGTGTAAAATACTCCGAGAACAGGCGTATTTGCGGTATAAATGGTGTAAAATACTCGGGGAACAGGTGTATATGTGGTATAAATGGTGTAAAATACGCGGGGAACAGGCGTTTTTGTGGTATAAATGGTGTAAAATACGCGGAGAACAGGTGTATTTGTGGTATAAATCGTGTAAAATACGCGGGGAACAGGTGTATTTGTGGTATAAATGGTGTAAAATACGCCGGAAACAGGTGTATTTGTGGTATAAATGGTATAAAATATGCGGAGAACGGGTGTATTTGTGGTATAAATGGTATAAATTACGCCGAGAACAGGTGTATTTGTGGTATAAATGGTGTAAAATACGCCGGGAACAGGTGTATTTGTGGTATAAATGGTGTAAAATACGCGGGGAACAGGTGTATTTGTGGTATAAATAGGGTAAAATACACGGGGAACAGGTGTATTTGTGGTATAAATCGTGTAAAATACGCCGGGAACAGGTGTATTTGTGGTATAAATGGTGTAAAATACGCCGGGAACAGGTGTATTTGTGTTATAAATGGTGTAAAATACGCCGGGAACAGGTGTATTTGTGGTATAAATCGTGTAAAATACGCGGAGAACAGGTGTATTTGTGGTATAAAGGGTGTAAAATACGCCGAGAACAGGTGTATTTGTGGTATAAATGGTGTAAAATACGCCGAGAACAGGTGTATTTGTGGTATAAATGGTGTAAAATACGCGGGGAACAGGTGTATTTGTGGTATAAATGGTGTAAAATACGCGGGGAACAGGTGTATTTGTGGTATAAATGGTGTAAAATACGCGGGGAACAGGTGTATTTGTGGTATAAATGGTGTAAAATACGCGGGGAACAGGTGTATTTGTGGTATAAATGGTGTAAAATACGCGGGGAACAGGTGTATTTGTGGTATAAATGGTGTAAAATACGCGGGGAACAGGTGTATTTGTGGTATAAATGGTGTAAAATACGCGGGGAACAGGTGTATTTGTGGTATAAATGGTGTAAAATACGCGGGGAACAGGTGTATTTGTGGTATAAATGGTGTAAAATACGCGGGGAACAGGTGTATTTGTGGTATAAATGGTGTAAAATACGCGGGGAACAGGTGTATTTGTGGTATAAATGGTGTAAAATACGCGGGGAACAGGTGTATTTGTGGTATAAATGGTGTAAAATACGCGGGGAACAGGTGTATTTGTGGTATAAATGGTGTAAAATACGCGGGGAACAGGTGTATTTGTGGTATAAATGGTGTAAAATATACGATTTACAGCAGTGTATTATTGTTTAACGCTGTACTGTATAGTGCGTTTCACACATTGAGTTGTTTTACATTATATATCTCGGAAAATGAAATTAGATATCGACAAAATATATGCATTATTAAGAAATATTCTCAAAACGTGTATATAATCATAAATGAGGTCAACTTATACTTTTGTTCATATATGTACATTTTGAGATCTGACGTGAAAAAGGATGGGGTTACATTCACGAAATGGAGGGTTTTTCACCTGATACTCATATTTCCTCCCACAATAAGTGGTTTCTGTCGGTTGAAATATCTTGTTTCATTATTGTTGTAAAAATAAATAGAGTTCATCATTATTTACATTGTAAGCTTTAAGTTGATGGCAGAAATATGCCAACTTACATAGTATAGTCAGTAATAAGTAAAGGGAAAATATGCAGTAGAGTATATGAAAATGAGTAATTTACTCATAATAAATATTAAAATAGATTATAAGAATATATAAAACATAAATATTACTTATTAATTTGAATAGATTTACACGTTTCCAACAATTTCTTACAGCAGAGAGACCAAAATGATATACCAGTATTCTGAAAAAATATCAACAAGCTGTACTGACCACGGGAGATCATTTCTTCTTTAATCATGATCAGGTATTCGGATACATTTCGACAGAATATCAGACGGTACCGTCCCTTGAAAAGTAGCTGCACTAAGTAATTTGGCTAACTATCTATTTCTGGTACACCTGTACAAAATTCCTGGATCATGTACGTTTAAATCAACAAACATTTACTTTAGAAAATATAGGTCTCTATTATTTTAACGTCTTCGCCCCGTATTTAACTATCCATGCCTGATATTTCGCTAGCCCCTCATCTCCTCCTCCTTTCCCAATATATATTGAGAAAAGAACATTTATGTTTACTCTCTCTACAGACAAAAACCGAAACAAAATAAAAAAGTTCTTATCAAGATGTATAGAAATTATATTTGTTCTAAATACTTCCATAGCACACTAAAAACACTGCTAGTATTTAGAATGTGCACCAACAGCAGAAAGAGAAAAAAAATCAGAAATGATAACATTATGAACAATGTTTCCATAGAGTACAGTCCCGTAAATCTAATACATAACAGCTAACACATAGACAACGCCTAGATACAGTTGTGTAACCGCACAACGCTCCAAAAATAGCGTGCGCACACCGTGCATACATCGTTCACACACCGTCCGCACATCGTCCACACATGGTGCGCACAACTGTACGATTTAACAATCGTTCGCCCCCTTGTGCGCTTCTCTCCGCACAACTGTGCGATTAGGTACAGTTTGTTGATCAATATTACGAAATGAAATAAATACGGAAGGATGTACATGTACAGCTGTATATATTACTGTGATTTCTCATCACAATAATTAAGATTATGTACAAGTTTACAATGCGTGTTACACAATATTACAATGACCGTTAGACTGTCAAGAATGGGTTTGGCTCCTAGATATCAGAACAGGTAAATAACATTCTGATGAGTGGACGGAGTTTTACCTGGCCTGTGCCTGACACCTATAGCTGATGTGTGATGAAGTATGACCGTTATGAAAACACAACTGGACAATTAGTATTTGTTAATTGCATTCGGTTTGGCTTATAGATCCCCTTCACCTGGATTAACACCCCGATGAGTTACGTGCATCGTGTAAGGTCCCGGGGCGGAGACAAGTACGGTCCAGGTTCATGTACAAAGTAGCTACATGGTATGTTTACCTGTATACGGGAACTGTGTTATAATTTTACATGTCGATTAAGGTCGTTCAAAAAACACCGAAAACACAATTTCTAAATT